AAATAGTATTTTCCTAACTTAACTATTAATTGTTTAAAAGTAATGCGGTGATTCTTTTTTTTTTTTTTCCAGAAACAAAATAAGGGTTTTCTTGTCCAAATGTCAATTTGAAAAGTATGTTCTTAGCCTGGGGGCAGACAAGAAATTGCCTCCATTCTGGGGGGCTCCCATGGCTTTTACTCAGGTGTCCGTGACGCCAGGGTCTGCTGTGGGGCCACGGTGTAGAGAAGGAGGTGATCCTCAGTGAGCTCAGAAACAGTTGTGTGAACAGCCACATCGCTGCCAAGTAGTCATTCACTAAAAGTACTGTGCTAAACGAGCCTGCAAGTTAGCCAGTTACAATGAAAGAATGGCAGTACCACAATTTTAAGATGACAGTGCTATAGCAAACCAGTCATCATATGCTTGAGTTACTAGTACAAGCAGTGGATTTAGAGTATTATGAAAATATATGCATTCTGAAGTGCTGTGAATTATACCAAATAATTCTGAATATCTCTCTTGCTACACTAATGAATCAAAGCAGGGCTTACCACATTATCTGCAATCACCATGGAGAAAATGGATTTCCGTGTACATAGTTCCCGTATAAATAGTGCATCCCCAGCACATTCTTTAATTAAGTAGTGTCTGATTGCATAATAATAACAATAATAAAGAGAGAAATGTCCAGCTTGCACACAGGCCGATTAAAGCATCAAGTGCACAAGGCCAAAGCACTCCCAACTGGGGAAAAGCATGCAGGGAGGTGTCCGGCTTACCAGCGTGTTTACCACCATGCCTTTGCCTTGCATCAGCTCTTCTGGCAGTGAACCATGGAGCCTGGAGATCTTTTTTCCTGAATCCTTGCACAGAAAAAGGTCTCATGGAGCACAGGCTCCACTGTTTTATGGGCTCCTGGCAGAAACCAAGGAGGTCGTGACTGTAGCACACAGGCACAACTTACCGGTTTGGGTGAAACTTCAGCACTTGAGTAATTCGCGCTGTGCCTTACTTAAGGCTTTGCTGGGTAGGATTTTCACTATTGGAGGGACCAGGCCCAACCTCCACCGCATGCCGTAGGTACTTGAGAACTCATGGAAAGCAGTAAGCTGGAGGAATGTACTTTATGGGGTGGCCGGATCATATGTTTATGGCCTGAAATAGGAGATCCCACCCCAAACCACTTTGTTGGTTTCTAATGATGAGAGGCAGAATATGAAGATCACATAATTCATGCTGAGGAATGGATATAAAAAGAGAATGTGCACAAAATCTGGGACTACCCACAGACTTGATAGCTGTTATTACTGTTAATTATGGCTAATGGCCTAATACCAGTAATAAACACCTTCAAATTTAATACATTCTGTATGCAGCCTATAGAAACTCCCTTTACAGAGATGGCCCAGATGAAACAAATGATTTGTAAACTAGGATGCTAGAATTAAACATTGCTAACAACATCGGCATAAAAGTAGTAGATGAGCGGCTGGATCCCTGGAGACAATAATTTACCACCCAAAAAGAACTTCTGGCAGTTGACAAAATTAATGAAATACTTTCTGTACCCTCTGCACAGGAGAAGTGGGTGGTCAGGACAGCACCGGGGTGGCTGCAGGGACTCTTTCGCCTGAGCCTTGCTGCGGCAGAGCTGGCCAGGTGGCTGGGAAAGCAACACCTGCGCTGTGATTTCACGGGCACATCCCAGCCTAGACACACGCATACTAATGCACTGCTCAGATGGCCTTTTCGGGAGGATAATTGCATGCACTGCCCTGAGAGCCGGGAATGGGCCACTTCAGGGAATGAGTCTGCTCCTCAAGATACAGCCACTTATTCTCTTCTCGGCACTGCAGAAGGGCAAATGTCCCTGGTTCAGGCCTTGGAAATAATGAGGTAAAATGGACTCAGCGCCATTAAAACCTCCCCAAAGACAGGACAGATATTAGAATATGTGATTGGAAAAAAATGACTGGCAAACACAGCCTTCCTTGACAGGACCCCTCTTCTCAAAGCTCAATAGAAAAACTCCGTGGTCACAGAAGAAGAGCTGGGAATTTAAACACGTAATCTGCGTGGATGCTAGAAAGAAAACGCGGAAGTCAAAACACAGCTAAAGACATTGGACATTCTGTAGAAGGTTCTGCAGGTGCTTTGCAACACGGCAGTCAGAGGCAGGCACTTTGCTGGTTCTCCCAACAGAAACGGGAGAACGGCAGAAGGACAACTTAGAGTCCTCCCCATTAAAAAGGTAAAGAAACTGGCAGACATGCACTGAGGGTGAGTGTGTCTGCCTTAAGATAACACCCAATCTGCTTTCAGATGAAAGGAATTCACTCTTGGTATGTATTATCCAAGTCATGCACATACATATGTATATATAGAATATATATATAGTATACATATTAAATATGATGGAGGTCATGACTACCAGCCTCATGGTTTGACCACACACCACACTGACTGCCATGTTCAGGGCAGTTTTTGCTCCAAATACTTTCTAAACTTGGCCACTTAAAATAGGAATTGTGTATATTTAAGCATCTAACAAAACACCCAGTTCAAAACCACATGCTTCATCAATGGCTTCATTCATGTGCTTGAAATGAAGCACGTGCTGCAGGACACTGCTGAATCAAGGCCCACATTGCTGGGTTTCCAGAAAGGCTGGGTGCCCGGGTGCTGCAGGGTAAATAGAAAGCTCTGTATTTTGGAAGCCTAAACATAGAACTGGTGCCTAACTTTGGATAATCAGAATTTTATCCTCTACTACAAAGATGTTGCAAAGCACAAGTTATCACCATGAAACCAATAGGTACTTTTATATTTTACTCAAACTTTACTGAATCTAGAGTCAAAATCTCAGCACCTTTGCCACTAATAAAAAAAGAAATCTTGTGACCCTTTTATAAGGAAAAATACAGGGTATGTAGCTCCTATGCTCTGGACACACTCACATTTAGCTTGGTTCATTTCCAAAGGCAATCCAACCAGATATTCAGATACCTGTATAACTTAAACACACTTCTAAGTACTGCACTGAACTTTAGCAAAAGTAAGGAAAAATAAATTCTGTTAAAATACCACTTTATTTCTTTAAAATCTGATTTTTCTGAGAGTCCTGAATGCAATGCATCACTTAAAAATCTTTCCTTCTTCATGTAGAATATTTTAATATGAAGCCAGATATTTTTATATTTCCACAAATTAAATGCACCATGGCTGAAGGTTTGACAGTAGCTTAAATTTGCACATAAAAAGGTAGAACAATTTCAGTTTTGACAATGTAAGCTTTTGATTTGTTAATAAAAGCAACTCTTTCTCAATTGTGAACATATTCCCCAAATAAGACAATGCAGTCTGCAACAACAATAAAAATCCAACATCTTACTGGTGTGGAGAATAAACTTGTGATCTATGGTTATTAAACAAATTGAAATTTTATAAAAACAAAAGAATGAAACTTTCACATTTGAGCTGTAGCAGTCATAGAACAAGAATCAGAGGAAGATGCACGGTCCTGCCACATTCGCTGTACTTACTGTTATCAATGTAACCTACCTTTGATACATGTGGATGAAGTTAATAGGAAGTATCTACAAAAAGTTTTTTACAAAGTCAATTCTGTAGTGGTGGTGGAGGAAAGCTGCATGTTTAGATACAGTTTTAGTGAAACCAACACAGAGTTTCCTTGCAATATTCTTATCAAACTACAATCTAAGAATGCCTGAGACTCTTGTAATGAAACCCAGGTGCCACAAGGGTTGTACACCAAGACCTAACCGAGGGTGCCAGGGGCTGAGCTCCCATGTCAATGTTCTCCTTCTCTCTTGAGAGACCACAGGGGAGGAGAGCGTGGAGCAGTTGGAGCACAGCAAGCTTAAGCATGGAAAACAATTAAAATGGGGATTTATGACCTCAGATTAAATAAACAATCACAAACTTTTCACTGTGGCAGCCACAAGCTGCATCATGGAAGGAAAGCTGAAAGTACCCAGGACCTGTATCAATACATAAAAGGGTGAAGAAGCACTATCTGTGGGCTTTTACATTTTCAGCAGGTATGTTGCCCTGGCATCAAGAGTAATACTTCTCAATGAGATGAGCAATGTGTCCAAAGAATTTGAGGTGCAAAATAGCCAGTGGCATTATTACAAGTCGACCCCTTTTAACTCTGAGTTTCGACACTAATCCAGATCACTTGAGCTCCCGGATATCACTCATATGGAAATAGGCAAAGCGATGAGCAAATGACATGAATATGATGTAAGATATAACACATTTCTGCATGTTACTAGAAAACTCTTCCTGGACATCTGCAGCCATGGCACGGAGCTGCTGTCTGTGTCACTGGAGAGAGCGGTTACTTAGAGATGATTGGCAGCAGCATATCCTGCTATAATGCTAACTAAGCCCGTGACACAGCCTGCTATCAATATTTTACTCTATCGCACGTGGCATTTTGCAGTGACACTAGATACAATACTCTGAGGCTTACTGGTTCACAGTCCTTCCATTTAATAACAACGTCTCTTGATTCTGGTAAACTTCTAAGCCTTTGCTGGAAGAAGTCAAGCAGTTCATTACTGAAAGACATTTTTGTTTTCCATGCAGTATCCCCTTGTGCTTTTCTTTGCTCCAGTCTCACCACATTTGCCTCCTAAACCAGTGTTGGTGAAACAATGCTGCAGGTATTTTGACCATATTTTTGCATGGCTGACGTACAGTTGCCTTGTCTCCCTCCACCTTAATTCTAACTATACTCTTCACAAATGCAGCCATCTGGCATATCATTTTTTGGTATTTTTAAATAAAGCAACTGGTCCCAGGTTCAAGGCACATGTTTGTAAGAGGCAAGTCACATCCCACTTCAGATGGGAAAGTGAGAGGTCACCGGTCTTAATGTTAGACGATGTTTAGAGCGAGCTGACAGAGGAGAAAAAAAAGCATCCAGCATTTTCAGTGAGATTCCCACACATCACTGCAAATGTTTTTTTCCTTAACATTGGTTTACTTACAGCCTCAGAGATGGTTGGTTGAAGGCTAAACCTCCTTCTTCCAGTGCAGTAAAGATGCTCGGCTCGACTACCCTGGCAGGAAGGCCTGTGGGGCACCACGCATGGCACCTGGAACACAGCAGTATCACACGGCAAAGCAAATCCAGCTTGGTGTGGAAGGAGCAGCATTTAAAGACGACTTATTTAATGTCTGGATCCTATTGTTGACAATGAAAATAATTTATGTCACGGTCAGTTTAGTGGTGCAGCCACCTGTGGGAGTGGGAATGAACTCCATAGTTTAATTCTGTGGCTTTACGACAACCTGCTTTAATTCCACCAACTTCAATGGGTTCATGCTGGGAAGGGATTTCCCTTTCACAGGGTTCAGTGCATTGGTTACGTCTGAACACAGTTCTTCAGGATCACAACTCACAATATTATTAAGTCAAGCATCAGTCAAACCCTGCTTTTTTTTTCCCTTTATTTTTGTATTGGGAAATGAAATATTTCTATATATTGTGTGCTTGAAATATCCTTATAAAAACATTAATGGTAAAGTTGTGGCCCCAAAAATTCAGAAGAATCTTACCACATCTTGCTGTATAGCCAAAGTTGCATCCCAAGTTTTTTTTTTTTCCTGGCCTTGTCACAAAGGACATCTTTCAGGCTTGCTCCTCTCGCTAACACTCACCTTTCCCATGCTAGAAATAAATTTGACAACACTAACTTGATCTCCACCTGGCTGCCATCTCCTCCACACATCTGATCCTACCCCTGAACTCTCTCCCTCTTGAAATAAAAGATGGCCACCACCCTGCGGACCAAGTGACCTGGAAACGCTGCTCAGAGATATATGAGCAATGGAGCAGCCGTGCCAAAGGAAACTCACAAATCACATACTCTGGGCAATGGGACAACTGGCAGAAAGACAAAATAAAATGACTGCCTCTCTACCTTTCACAGACTCCCTCAGCCGACACCACTCCAGTCTGCTGCTGAAGCATATCTGCATCAGCTAAGCCTGCTGTTCTCTAACAAACCTTTTGCTGCGGTCCTTCAAAGCAGGCGGAATTGGAGCAGCCAAGGTTGGGATGGTGCTGCAAGCCAAGAGAACCATTTCCAGCCAGCTCAACAAATACCTGAGGACAGAGAGGCAGAAACAGGCATGGGGGAGAAGGCAGAGATTTCAAGTGGCTGCCCTTTATGCATCCTACCTGGCCAGTCCCTTGGCGTAGCGCAGCGTGTTTGGGTAGGAAGCAATCACTGCGGCACCTAAAATAAAGACAGAAATTGTCAGGCACAACAGCTGATGCCCTATCATTCAAGTTGTCACAAACCACAGATGTCAACAGTATGATTTTTGCTGTCGATACCAATTTGGAAAGTGCCATTGATAATGTGCCAGTACAGCTCAATAACTTTTGACTCCACAGACTGAACCTGTGCTGAAATCCTTGCTTCTTTTTGTTCATTTTAAACAGACTTTGAATAATTGACTCTCTAGGTGTGGGCTAGGCAAGCACACTGGACATTTGTGCCACATCAGCCCAGTTTCTCTTTGCTTTGGTGGGTTAGAAAAGAAGATTTTTGTGATGCTACAGCAGCTTCCTCCCTGCATGGGTGATCAGCAGGGGCCACAGTGTTCTTCTGGGATGGATTTACTTCTCACAGAGACGCCAAAGGGGAGGGAAATTGTTTGACCTAAAAAGCACAATCTAGATCCATCAGGAGCTGAATGCAGACTCAGAACCAAGCCAGGACAAGCTGGGCCTGTTCTTATGAGAAGTACCTGCTTTTCAAGATGCAGCCATGTGGAAGATTCCCTTCTTCACTTTCATCCTGAAAAGAGAGATGGAACAGTTAATGGGGGAAGAGAAAGGCCATGAAAATCACAAGCTGTGTAAAAAGTTTCTTGGCAAATAACAGTTTAACACCACTAAGAAGTTAGGTTAAAATGGTTTCAAAGTCTAAAATTAGTTACATTTTAAACTAACAGCATATGCTTTTATTGTCTCTTATCTAAAATATAATCCCAGGAGGCTGTGAAAAGCATGCAAATTACAGAAAGCTAATTTGCTCCAACAGCGACACCTCCCATGTAGTTGGGAGGTCTATTAGACCTAGTGTACTCTCCATTATTTGCATATTAATAGCACCTGCTGAAATACTTTGGGATTTACATTCCCTGCCAGCAGAGGGACAAAACAAAACAAAACAAAAAAATTATATAAAATTCCTTTCATACAGCTTTGATGAACAATAAACTATTTAGACAGTGCTAAGAATGCCAAATTAGTGAGAGGCAACAGGGTAGTATTGCAGATGCCATCTGTGATTTTCAGAGAAACTGGACTGCAAATTTGCTTCCAAAAAGAAACAAAAACAACAACATCCAAAAATATAAACCACCAAAAAACTCTTACCCCCGCCCCCCCCCCCCCCCCCCCAAAAAAAAAAAACAAACTCTCTGGAAAGTGCTGGGTAGTTTGAAATCACTCACTTGGCTCAAGTCTGAAGAATGGAAAAGTTTAACTAAAGAAATCCAGACACTACAGCAAGAAAAAAAAATATAAAAAAAATAAAGAAAAGAAAAAATCCCCACACATCCACAACCACCAAAAGCAGAACCCCCCAAAGTGGACCTTGATTAAAAATCTACAAAACCCCAGGCTTTGATATTAGCCAGGCCTGCAAGGCCTAGTCCCCTGCACATAAAACAAAAAATAAATTAAAACCAGCTACAGCATGAGATTTACTTAACAAGCCAGCTTTCAATCTCTGCTTATGACCACTGCTTCCCCTTGTGGCCCCCTGACTATAAAAAAGCCCGCTGTATGTTCCTATAGCTCATCTTCCTCGGGGTAAGGGTAAAAGCGGCTTCTTTTCCACGGTAGCAAATGGAAAAAGCTCACTTTTCAGCACAAAGCCAAGGCAGAGCGGCGGGCTGGATGTGTAACGTGTGCCTCTGCAGAGCGGATTCAGGGAGCTGAGCAGGCAGCCGGGGCATTCCCCGGTACCTCTCTTCCCAAAGAGCCAACTGGTATTCATGAAGAGCATGTGCCATGCATTTATATTCCATCCAAGAGTTACAGGAGGCCTTTATTTCTCCCTGGTTTTTAAACCCACTGCTTTAACTCTGATTATGCACCCTTTTTCCAATGCCCACCACTTATTTACTGCTGGTGTGCTGACATTCCGCAGCATCTTAAATACCCTCATGCTTCCAAACGAAGAAGGCAATTGACTTGAAGCTAAAATGACAAACTTGTTCTCCACCTACTGAAACAGCACTGAAAGAGCACTTCTGTAGGACGATGAAGCACGGGAAGGCAATGTTTGGAGCGAGCTGGCAGCGCCCTGCAGGGATGGTGAACACAGCAAGGGCAGCCACTGTCCCTGCGGCCACCGCCCGGTGTGGCAGTGCAGCTGGTGGCCCTGTCCCCTCGTGTGGTGTGGAGAGAAGAAGGGGCTCCTTCTGGGCACTGCCTTACTGCTGGCCTCTTCTTTCTCCACCACAGACAGAGCTCAATATGTCTTTCAGCTCTGTGCAGCCAAATGAGACCTATGAAAAACTTGCTCAGTGTCAATTATAATTACTGAAGGAGGCAATCAAACATTACAGCAATGGGGACCCCTGAAAAGCTTAAGACAGGCAACTCCCACCATGGCTGTCAACAAATGCTAATTCTCATTAATGTATATGTAACTCTTAAATGGTGCAACGGTGTTAGCTATTAGTATTAGGTAGTAGCTAATTAGTAGTAAGTAGTAGAACTGGTTAAAGTTACAGGATGGAAAGCAGATGCAGATTGGAGGGCTCAGCGCTGAGCTTGTGATCACTGCTGGTGATAATTTTCAGCATATTTTTGCATACTCAAGAACCTCCGAATAGCAGGCGGGGAGGGTTGCCAGAACGGCTCCTGGGAGGCGCCGGTGGCTCAGGGCCCTGATGAGCAGAGCGATCCCTTTGTGCAACTGGGGAGGACTGAGTCAGTGCCCTGCACACCGGGCTCGCACCCCGCGCCTTGCAGAAGAGGGGACGATTCACCTCCTCTCACCTCTTTGTGCCCAGCGACCAGGTACCTGCCCCGGGCTGGTCACGGGTGCAGCACCAGCAGGGATGGTGCGAGCAGGCACTACCCTTACCGTTACAGTCACCACAACCACTGCCATCACTGGTACTGGTCCTGCGACCACTAGCACCGCTGCCTGCCAGGGGCACAGCCAAATGCTGCCCATGCTGCCACGCAGCGCGGCCCCAGCCTTTTTGTGAAGCATCTCTCCTAACACGAAGAGCCATGTATTTGTAATGACAGCAGTAAAAAATAAAAATAAAAAACATCCTGAAAAGCATAAACCCAGGCCATTACCTATTATAACAAATTGAATTGGATGTTCCTTACCTGAAATTTCATGAGCAATTAGCAAACAGAATTATCCACAAATGCATGTATGTCCCATTATCCTTGTAGCCATTTCAACAGCTCCTACGTTACAAGCCTGCAGTTTGCTATCTAGCAGCTCTAGCAGCCCCAAACCACAGCTTTTTCCTTTTTTTCATTTCTCTTTTAACATGAAGTTCATGGCAGCCAGTGTTTTACCACCTGAACACTGGGGGAGGAAAAAAAGCAAGGGGGAGAGGATCAATATATACAGTATGTTTATATTCAGCAAGAGCATGTTGCAGAGTGGGGAGCTGGGATGTGTTTGCATTGTCTGTGAACGGATCCGTAGTGGCGCTGCAGCTGGAGAAATAATGGAAGATCAGGGGACTGTCTTCGGTGACAAACTTTCATCTGGTAAGTTACAATTATATCGTAGGAAATGATACCTTAGACTGCAACTAATTTGTGAATCCCAGGAAGGGCAGATCACTGATTCTCCATCAGGGCTGCAGAACCTGATCTATAAAAATTTGGGCCTCAGCAGGAGGTGGTGTGTAAGTGTGATTTGCATTTCAATTCCTAGTCCACCACAACCTTTAAATCTTCCTGCAGCACTATCACAATGGAAATTTTTGTTCTCAGTGTGCTCAAAATACATATTAAAAAAGAACAAAAATCCTAGCACAATGGAAGTCAGTTGTTAATGGGAAAGAACGTGGCATTTATGCTCAAATTGTTTCACAAAACACCATTACATCAGAGTCTTTCATCATTTTATGGGGGATCAAATCCCCTGACACCATCTTCAGGGACTTCATGTGGTGCTCATCACTATCATTCCACTTCCACAAACACCACAGCCCTTTCAATTTTTATCTGCCCAGAACCCAGAATATGTTACATTATTTAGTTTTTGTAAGAAGCTTTTCTGTATGAAGAATTCACAACAAATAAAAGCCATTTCCCTGAAAAAACGAGCTTATGAGTGACGGTTAAGGGAATTTTGGGCAGGCCCCCAGTACAGGAGGTGAGAGCAGCTCTGCCATCCTTCCTGCTGGCTGATGGCACAGGTCCAAGTGGCCCTACATTGCGCAGCCAACAGGGCTGGCAATGACAGCATGGTGCTCACGCTTTTCCCCAAAAAACTTTATGGGTCGGACTATGAACCCCGTATTCATGCGGAAGATGAGTTATTCATAGAAGTAGGAAGGCTTCCCAGCGCTGCCACTGAATCAGGAAACAAGCCTGCAGAGAGAGAGGTAAAAAATCTACTATAGCTCCACCAGCCAAGGAAATATTCCACGTCAAATGCTCTCAGCCTCTTAACCCAGTGTCAACAAAGACAAGTCTTCATGCCCTTCCTGTGTGTTTGTGAAGCCAACTGAGACAAAGTCTTTGAGAGGAAGCCAGCGCACAGAGCCGTCCATGGGCCACAGCCGATGATTATTAATGTTCTGGCAGAGCTCAGATGCCTCTCCTTGCAGCGCATGGAGCCAGGCTTTGTCCCAAAAAGGCACACATGACCACGAATTCAAATTTACATTTATTTTGGCAATTTGATATCTCTTTTCCTATGTGTGGAATTTTATTGCCACTTACTCAGATATGGCTAAACTTAGCAAGCCTTTCCAGGGACACGTTCTCCAGCTGATTGAATTTCCAGGCTCCAAGCCTCACAGCCCAAGTGAAGGGCGCGGGAGTTTGTCTACCAGCAACAGGAGAACATCAAACATGTCGCAAGCACTCTTCCAAGTTTTTTCTGCTTTTGCAGTTGATATGAACTTTCTGTTGACTTCAGCAGATACAGGCCTTACTGAAGGACATTTTTTCTACCTACCTCTTCAAGACACTTTCATTCCCTCACTCTAATTTGCCACGTTGGGACCCAGTGATTTGCATTATTGCACAGAGATGCATCCTGGCATTTGCAAGATTGCAGCACTTTCCCTGTGAATTTTCATGCAAGCTGCCCCCCTGTGACAAAGGGAAAGCAAATCTCCCCATGAAGGTTACAGCTCTTCTTGAAACACACTCAGTGAACTGACTTGTTCCATATCCTCTGCCATTTTTGAGTGCCCACATTCGGAGCCATTTACACGGGGATGATTCTACAGCATGACAAGACATTGATTCTCTCCAAGGTTTCTAAGCTGGGGTATCCCAAACCATCATGTACTTTTAGGAACGTTTGCTTGCACTCCACTGAATTGATCGAGCCAGCCCAATCAGAGGATTTCAGACTGAAACAAAGAAGCCTTAAGAAGCCTGGTCCTGAACGTCCTGCTCAACAAACCAAACTAAACCCAACCCAACCCAACCCCCTCAAAATAAAAACAAAACCCTCATACAAATCAAGGGAAGTTTGTCCAATGCAGGATAAAGATTTTTTTTTTCTTTTTGTTAAGGACACAGCCTTGCTAATAGCATGGAAAGCATTCAGAAGTATAGATCTTACCAACTGCTCTTCAGCTTAACATCTCTGGCATTCAAAACATACAACTTCTGTGTTTGTACTACATTTCCCTAACAGCTTACATCGAGGCCAAATAGACAGCATTCTGCAAAGGTCTTCTAAAATAAGCTTATTTAAAAGAGCAAGGTCAATGCCCAACATATGTCAGATTCTGTGAGTGGAAATCAAAGAGTTAGGAGCAAATGGAATATGTCAGAACTCAGTGGTTTTCTATGCCAGGCTCTTTTACCAAGTTCACGTTTCTGCTGCCAAAAACAGTAACAATCCCATCATATGGACTTCAGCTTTGGGAAAGTGTCTAAAAAAAACCCACCCAGTGTCTGTGCATGGGCTAGTTAGCTCAATAAATAAAACTAATGCATAGATAAATGTTTAGCTGGACATGCTATCTATTTTCTATATAACTGTATTTTTCTTTTAATGGGACACATGCTGATTCCACGCTTCAGCCTTAGGCTCTATTAAAATCAGATTTAAAGCATTAGTAATGTAGTTAATTCCATTTATAATATGCACATCGTAAGAAATGAGAACATTAAAATAGAAAAGTATGTATAAATGGGATTTAAGAATTGTTTAAAAACATTCTGCTCCATTTTGATCTTTGTAAAAAAAAAAAGGCAATTTTTTAAATAAAAAAACTTTGCTCTGTGCTGATAAAGTAACACTGCCTAGTCTTTTAAACCGTATCTTGCAGCACAATATTTGTGATTTCAATTAAAATATGCTATTGTCACTTTAGCCTCCCTCTTTGGTATTTTAAATTGATCCTAATGGCTTTGCCTTCAGTGATTTGCGTCCCATAGTGAATCCCTGTCACTTACAGCACCTCCCACTATTGCCCTCCCGAATAATCACTACCAGATAATCACTTCTTCCCCTTTCTCCCAACATTATTGCTCGCTTCCCCTCTGACTCTGCATGCTGGTACAGTCTGCAAACTATTTGCTCTTTAACATCTTTAACATATGGCTTGTTGCTCTGGCACACAACAGAGAGGGATTTAAAAGAAGGATAAAAGCTGCTTGAAAAAGGCCAAACTGATGGCTCTACAGGTAGGCTTGTGTCTCCCCATGGCCTGTTTTCCTGGCTGCAAACTGAGGGAAAAAGAGTGGATTGTGATGGAAATCCCTCTGGCTCCGTACTCACAGCTTGGGGCCTGGCAGGTGCTGACAGCGCAGGTCCACGTTCAGCTGGGGCTTGCTGCTTGCTAACGGAGCTCTGCGAGATGGAGACCGTCCGAGGCGGACCTGTGTAGGAACACAAAATTTCCATGGGACACTTTGCCCCCAAAGATGCCACCAGCAGGACCCCCAGAGGCTCTGGCTGAAAGCTGACCCCAGAGCTGCCCCTGTCCCCCGCACCGGACCCAGCAAAGCTGCCCTCACGTGCCCGGTACGCACAGGAGGAAACCATAAAGCTTTCTCCTTCGGAGAGGAGGAGCCTTTCTCCTTTGCTTTTCATGGCTCTCATTATTAATTGAAGAATCATTTAGCTTGCATAATTGTCCTCTGCCATACATAATTCCAGCCTTTCTCTTTAAATTGCCTTATTAAACTAAATACACTTTTTTGTTGTTGTGACTCCATCCATCAGAGCTTCTAGATGGACAGTCAGTGTCACAAGAATAAAAAACAAAACAAAACAAAAAAAATATTAAGAAGGATCTCTTTATGTACATTTATGAGATCTACCACCAGGTGACTCCATTCTAAAATATCCATATTTTTGTAAAACAAAATGCTATTTCTTTCTTGCAACCTGAACATCACAATAATCTTCCCCCCCCATCCCCAAGATTCAGCACTCTGAAAAAATGCTGTTAAATAAATAGCGCTCTTACTTAAGATAGGAACATTTTTTATTTTATTTTTTTGACTAGCACATGAAAATGTATTAAAGCGAGTCAGGGATTTCCAGAACAGCCTGATCTGTTCCTGTCTAATCAGACCTGATTAATTCAAATCAAACTGCAAACCTCAGTTTTATTTTGCTTTAAAAACTCAAGATCAACAACAAATCAGCGGTATGGAGATATCACAGAGGCAGTTAACACGGGAAGCCTACAGACACTGAGCCTCATGTAGTCAAATGGATATGATTAAACATTTGGAATCATTTATTAATATTTTATATATTCAAATATATACAGAGCAGATAGGACCAGTTAGACGGATGCTCTTCACAGGGGACTTTATTATATTTATGCCTAAGAACAGGAGATCCAGCTCGGGTGTCAAAGGGTGTTTCTTCAAAATAGAAAAAATATTAACAACTAATAGGGTTATGTGGGAGGGTTTGTAAGTAACACCAAACTGTACTAAACCATGCAATGATCTACACAGATAATCAAAGTGTTTGTGAGATAGCGAGCACGGCAGAATAAATAAAAAAGGATAAAATAAAATAAACCAGTCTCACAAATGCAAGATTGCAAATGCAAAATAGGTAGCCCTGCAAGAAATGTTTCAGAGATTTACTGAGCCGTTATTTCGGTGGAACACAGATTCATGTAGGCTCTCAGACCTGACCAATTTAATCCACATCAGACCGGGGAGACACGGGGTCAGGAGGTTGAATGTGGATTTGGGCACTTGGCACAGCTGTTTTCCTTAGGTGCAATACACTTGTCACTAGTGGTGGCATTTTGCATTTGCTCCATGGCGGCATATGTGCTTGCCACATTTGGGACCCATTATATCTCTTTACCCTCCAGCCACTTCCCTTCCTTTCTTGTTAGCTGCACGTCCGTACACTCCTCCATACTCTTTCCCTACATCGCAGTGCCAGCTCTTTGCCCCCTCTGCTCGCTCTGCTGGCTCCACGTACTGCCTGCGTGCTTTACAAGCTCCCCGTATTACAGCCGTCTGCAGGCAGGGGTAGAATTTTTATACGTACTGCAGAATGCACCCGTAGATATATGCGTGTATACACATACACACACAGATGTTCTATAAGGAATCGTAGCTATTCCATCACTGAAATACCTACCTATTCAGAAACAATTTTGCTACGAGGGAGAGCACACATAGACAAAGAAAAGTTGAAGAATTGCCAAGGAAATCTTTCAAAGTGTTGCATAAACCCAAACTTGAAGCAAAGGTGAAAAAAGGGAAGGGGACAGAATATATGTTCGCATTTCAGCCTCTGCAATTAAAAACACAGTTACAGCAACAGCCCAGACCAATTAGTGTATGTTGATATATTGGCTTTCAGATAAAACAGCATCTGACTGCATGTACAAAAGAGGGAGTTAAGCGTTTCTTCTTGTTTTGTGCACACTGCACAGACAGGACTGACTGCAGGACTTGCTTTTGTTCACTGTTGGGTCACTGCAGATGACAATGACAGTTAAGAAGTTTGGTTGATGTCTCATTTTGGTGGGCCATAGTCCCAGCCTCCTCTTTCAAATTCACGGTGCTCCCTCTCAGGGCACTGGGACACTGGTTCAAAGGAAAAAGTCTCCGATCTGGAGAGATGAGCTCGCCTGGACAAGTTCCCAGCTAAGCAGTGACTGAGCCCAGCAGAGGTGGGCACCCCCTGGAGGTGTGGGTGTGCGGCCAAAACAGGAGCATAAGCTTCAGAGAGAAAAGCCTTCGCATTCTTAATGAACAAAAAAAAATGTACCAGCCTCTGCTTTGTGTTTTCTTAGCTAAAACTATGTCCTAGATGAGCAGTATTCAGCTAAAGCCAGATCTCCTCCTTGTCCCCCTCCAACCCAGAGCATCCCGGGGTTTAGGAACCTTGCATGTGGGTGCACAGATGTGAGCCAGGCTGCTGCACAGGGTCCCTGGGAAATGCAGATCCATATTCAGCTTTTTCTTTCCATAGATACAAGCAAGTTTAGCATCAAAGTTTTCAGTTCATAATATAGCTCCAAACTAATGAAATAGGAAAAAAACTGAAACTACTCAGCTTTGGTTTGCTTCTGTTTTCATTAAGTTTTATCTTCTAGTATTTTCTAAAATCTTGACCTAAGGAAGCAATCACAAAAACCCGTAAGGGAACGGGTTATTTTTATACAGCGGAGAGGGCACTGAACTACCTGCCCGATGTAGCTGCTGTTTAGCGACACAGCCAAGCCTTGATCTGCATGTCCTATATCCCAGGCCTGCTGTTTTTAAATGCTACTCAAAGGCAGCAGTTGGGAAAAGGATGTTACAGCCGTGGCCTGCGTGGGCTGGCATCTCGGGGAGCGCCGCTTCTCTCGGCAGCTGCTCGCAGCAGCGATATCTCTCACCTGACAATTGCCTCGCTCAGCAACAGGTCAGGCCAGCAAAATCCCTCGCCTGCTTTCAGACTCCCTGAGTATCAGCAATGGAGCGTGAATTGCCTCTGGCTTTCTGTGCAGCCCCCACTGCATTAATGAACGGTGTGACATAAAAAATAGCCGCTGACAACAAAATCCTTTCATAAGTCCTGATGCTTTTGGACGTGGCCCTCTCTTCTCCCACCCTCCCTTTACACAGACAGGGAGAAGGCTTAGGAAGGAGGTCCAAAAATCAGGGAATAGTTGGTCTTCTCTTTGAGGTGACCACTTGTGAATAGGCCTGGGAGGTCAGTGTGCTCCCATTCAGATGCACGGCTTTGAGGGAGTTCACTGAAGAGACAGAGACCAACTGCAGGTCACCAAGGGACAGGGTTTTCATCGGTACCTGTTGCTGCAGAGGAGGAGGTCACTTTACCCTCCAGTACAAGTGACACAAACAAAACTTCATAGCTGGGCAGGACAGGCAAGAGACTGGAAAACGCCTGGCCATTTAATGTAAATAGTTCCAATATGCACATACATTTCATGCCATCTCACCGCCCTTATGAATGTTAGGAATGTGAAGTAGGTAGGAGGCCCCTCTCAGCACTGAGATGTTCACAGCTTACAGCAACGCTCCCCAAGTACAGCCCCTGGGCAGGGGAAGCTTTTGAAAGCAACATCGGACAGCCTTGTTAACTGTGGCCATCCCTGACAGAGCCAGCAGATCTCAGCGTTACAGCGCAGGCCCTGCTCGGGTGGGAATTAGGCAAGGAGGCTGAGCTGGCCTCTCGGTGCTTTGCACTCGAGGCACGCCGTGCTCCATCTCCCCAACACACAGGTGCTGCATTCCTGCTGAGTTTTGTTCAGTGGTGCCCCAGCCACGCCAGAAAGTAGCCCTTCAGGAACCAAACCTGGAAAGCTCCTTGCTGAGGAGCCTGGTAATAAAGCTACAACCTGCAGTCTGGGTCAAGGTTTTATCAGCCATCAGGATCGGAAGGGAAAAAGCACTTGTAGTGAATGGCCAACCCAACTGCTTGGAGAAAGGAGTCGATTCAGGCTGCCAATATTGGCTCTTACACAGATAATAAACTAGACTGGCCTTTCTCCTGACATCACACTTCAATCAAAAACTTTCTCGCAAAATGTCACTTTCAAAGTTGCAGCTTTAAAAAAAAATGTCTTTATAAAAAATTCATGGCCACAATGATCTGATAATGCAGCTTTCTGATACCAGCAGATGTTTTGTCTAACATGTTCCCTGAAGCTGTACTCTGTGCCTTCATATCTTTCATTTCCAGTTGCTATCTGCTGACTGTGGGATGTCATGTACGTACCCTATAGCGATGCGCAGCAATTCGCATCTAACACCGCCGTGCGTAATGAGCTTCACAAGATGCTTGTCGCAATAACTCCGCACTTCCCCAACCATATGGAACACAACACTCCAAAGCCCACAGACACTTTTTTTTATTACAGTTCAGATCCTTAAAACATAATCTGTGTGATGTCTAGTGAATGTACGTGAAGAGCTGCTGAAAACAAAGTTAACACTTGTTCACATCATCTGTTACAAATGTCCAATTTGGGACAATAAATTTCCTCGGAACCTGTTCTTTTGCTGACTCGTTGCTTTATCTTTTTTCTCTTTCTCTCACGTCGTTTTTTTTATGAACTATGCATATGTATTAAATGGGATTTGTTGTCCCTAGATACCAATTTGCATAAAGTGCAAGCCATCATTGGTTGGAGAGAAGCAAATTACTTCTCCAGCAAGATCACACTTCTTTTTTTTCCTTTTTTTTTTTTTTTAATTTTAACAAACCGCAGGCAGAGGCTGTTAACAGCACTTAGCCAGATATGCAAAGTATCACTTTTCTCAAAAGCAGCTTGATCAATGAGCAAAAAAAAAAAAAAAAAAAAAAAAGAAAGAAAAAAAAAAGAAGAAGAAGAAAGGGAAGGTATTATTCAGTTAAGTACAATGCAGAAATGACCCAAGACTGAGGCAGCTAACCCAGCCATTCACCTGTAACTCGAGCTGCCTGCTTCCCAGTAAAATACAATTCAAGTATGGTTTGGCAGCCAGGACACAAAGCAAAACACCATGACTGAGCAGAGCCTCCCAGAACCACCATTACCTTTTCCAAGCGTGCTCAGTGCATTTACAGAAGTCCCAAGCTCGCTTGGTAATTTTACATGTTGCTCAGCTCCCCGTCAGGAGCCTTCATTGCTCATTCACATCCCCCCACATTTACTCGCATTGTGTCTCTGAAGAACTGTGCAAATACTGGATTGAAATATGTTTAAACGTGCAGGGAGGCTCTCCTCTGCCCTCCCCTAATTTTTCTGGCTCCCGGGTGCCAGCGGTGCTCTGCACGATGGCAGCTGCCATCCTAGCTGGTTTTGGACAATCACAAACTCCCTTTCTAACTTATGTTCCTCATTGTGCACACCTGTGACACGTTGGCAGGAGCCTCAGTGATAACACTGGGACAGATTCGCAGGTTCAGAGTTAGCCCTGTATCAGCTCTGTACTCTTAGGGAGGAGAAGAGAGTGAGCCAGGGGAAATTACGGTGAGGGGATTTTACAAATACTTCAAGAAACAGATTATCTAAGCAATCCTGTGATGCACAGAATGATGTAAAGACTTACCAAACTACTGTTAAAAGGATTTGCAAGGCGTGAGCCCGGCACAGTTAAAATGTGTGGGGTATTAAATGCACTGAAGAGAAGAAAATTAGCAAGGATGTTGAGCTGCAAAGTCTCCAACTAGGTCTGAACTTCTCAAGGATTCAGTGCTGGGACATTGCTTGAGGTGTGGGGGAGAATGGGTCCTCTCTAATCATCAGCTTGTATTCTGTTGAGCTCTCTAAACATTGCGGGATCTGCGTCTTAATAAATGTTTGCTCACAATTTAATCCCAGATCCATCAGCATCATGTGCTTATATTGTTTTACCTCTAAATTTAACAGATGGATGGCACTCTTTCAAGAATGGTTCCTGAGATCATGGAGGATATTATTAATTCACCATAGAAATATCACAATTAATCTGGACAATGGTGATGACTAGATGCTGAGGTGCCTTTCAAGGAGTTGTGGTTGTCAAAAGAACAAGATAGGAGCCAGTGTTTATAAATTGTCACGAGGGAGTCTACATTTCCTTGGTACCTTCAGCATCTACCCAACAATACTCAAACAGCCACGGATTTTATGCTGTGTGATGATTTGAAGGTGGAAAAAATAGTTTCCGTCTGCAGAAATATTGGCATCTTCTTGCGGCTTTTGCAAAAAGGCAAAAATCCCACAATGTCACACATCTCTATTATTAACGTATGCCGCCTTGTTTCCGTATTTGTATTTGTCACATTTAAAAGGAATAAAATAGAATTTCAGAGAAGATCTTCATTCCCAAATGATCACAAAAGCACAAAGAATTCATACAAAGATTATGAGAAAAAATCACAAGAGGAAATTAAGTGCGAGCTTTGAAAACGGGGCTTTTTCGTAACCAAGGGCACTGCCAGTGTTAACCAAAGCAAGCACCGTGGGACCAGGTGAAATCATGTTTGGGACACTTACCCTCAGATGCACTGAAGTACACGGATCTCATCTCTCTGAGTCTGCTGTCTTTAAAGGCAGGAAGGATCAACAGCGTTACCTCCCCAGCTCCTCTCGCTTGAAAGCCCTGGCACGCTCAACTGGCAGCTCAAGGAGGCGGTGTCTGGGCGCCGCTGTACAGGTGCATCTGCAGCCTGGTGGCTCTGGAGACAGACCCTGCCCAAGAAATAGATTGCTAAAGCTTAGCAGAACACAGCGTATGAGACCCAACTGTACAGTAGGCACTAGATAACATGCAATCATGGCCTCCTACTGCAGCAAATTCCACATAAACCCAGGCCTTTGAAAGAGAAGTAGTAAAAAAAATGTGTTTTTCTCCTTCCTTATCTGTACCTACTCCATTTTACCTAAGGCTGGCTATTAGCTCAGCTGGTGATGTCACTTACTTCACTGGAACCTGTTATCATGAAAGATTTCTCACAGGATTTTCCATTTTGTTAGCTTTGTGCTTTGTGCAATGTTGTATTTCATTCCATTAGATAAAGGGTTAAGTAATTCACGTTTTACCCATATAGACTAAGTTATACTCCCTGTGGGTTGCTGGCTTCCTATTGGCTAGAACGATGACCTTGGAAACAGACAAAAATGATGCATTGTTGCAATAAATATTATAGCTTGCACCTGTTTCTAATTAAGTCTGCCAAACAATTTCAGAGATACTGAAAAGAGAAATGTGTTGGCTTCTAATCGGGTGTTCGTTGCTGTTTGATCTGGATTATTCAGCGCCCCACATGACCTCACCTTCTTGGTTCTCCTTTTTCCTTCTTCTTTTTGGACTTGCAGAAAGCACTAGATCGAATGAAGTCCCCTCAAAGAGGAGCATCTCTGCCTACAATCGGTTGTTACTAAAAACCTGAAAATCAATGGATTTATACCAAGGCCCAGAATAATTTATGGCAAGATACCTCAGAAATCTCTAATACGGCTCTTAGGTTTCATACATCTGTTGTACCAAAGCTGGAAATTCACCGGTCTTCTCCTTCTCCTTCTCCTTCTCCTTCTCCTTCTCCTTCTCCTTCTCCTTCTCCTTCTCCTTCTCCTTCTCCTTCTCCTTCTCCTTCTCCTTCTCCTTCCCTTTCTCCTTCCCCTTCTTCTATCTTTTAAGCTTCAGACCTTAAAACAATCTCCAGCAAACAGTGATCAGGCTCAGGCACTGACTGGGAGGGATACTGGAGGTTTTTGCAGCTAGACCTCAGCAAGTCAGGAATTAGTGCAGGAATTACATTTCTGCTAACACTCATGGCAAATGTCGGCAATGTTATCCTCGTGGACACGTAAGAAGTAAAGAATTAGTAATGTCTTCATTTTCTAAATGGGGTGTAGAAGCCACAGCTCAGCCAAAACTTTTGGCTGATACAAGCTGACACTGTCAATGACAGAAGCAGTCCAGTCCCTTCAGTCCCTGTGGAGTCTCTTTTCTCATGCTGGGATAAGCATTTGTGCATCTCTATTCTGGAACTGATTGAGGAACTTACACAGCTGAAGACTAATCCTAGGAGAAAACAAAGAGTTTTTTTTCAGCCACATCAGCTTTCTGATTTTGGTTCGCATGCAGCCTGGCAGGACAGAACTGAACAGCAGACACAGGGAGCACAAGGCAATATTTTTGGATGGAGCTGCATGAAGTCACAGAAGGAACATGTAATGACACGAGAAAACAATGAGAAAACAATGTAGGCAAAAAGGGCTCCAGATCCTTTCTCTCTTAATGTCATCAGCCTCACAACCTAGCAAAGATTTGCTAGCTGTGTACCAATCCTCTGGGCCACCCACAGTTTCTCACGTGTACGAAATGTATCTCAGAGGTATCACATTTGGTGGAATTAAATGACCCCTCTGCTCAGTCAACAGTTAATTATTTGGGAGTGGAGGTTGCGTAGGGATTATTTTGGTAGCCATACTAAAGAAGGTAGGATCAGACAGGCCAAAAATAAGCCTAGACACAAAGACACAGCAAGGGAAGAGAACAGCTTAGCCTGGGTGGTGTGATGAAGCCCTGCATAAGTATTATGGCAAGAGGTTTGTTCAGGAGGAGAGACAGAACTACAGAGACATTTCACAGGGTTAGCTCAGCTTCCTCTGTCTGATAGACTCCCTCTTTTACACTTTTCCCTTGATGGCAGGTAATGAAATGCCTGCTGGTACCCCCCATGACTGGAGGTACCCAGAGTGGTTCAGCCCATCGCGAGTGCTGTGCCAATCATTTAACAATTCCCACGGCTGCCTTTGTGCGAAGCCTCTCTCCTAAGCCTCTGGTTTAAGAATTTAGAGTAATCATGTAAAAATGATACCCCTGTGCTCTATGATCCGCTGAATCTCACTAATGCCGGATCCCAGAAGAGGGCTTATTAATGAAAAGATGCAATGCCTCTCTCTCTGCTCATGTTTCACATGAATATCTCTCATGGATTCGGCAGTAAACCTTACTGCTGATAAAGTAAGTATAATGAACCTCCGTGCTCCATGAGAATGAAATCTCGGACTGATGAAGTAGTTACCTGCTCTACTTTCCAGCACAATGGCAGGCTTGAGAGGTACAAGGAGAAGTACTCGGCTGCTACGGGGAATAGCGGTGCAGTATCACAGCCCCCAAATCTTGGGTCTGATTTGCTGGTGATGCCTTTGGCTGTGTGAAAGGATCAACATTTTGGAAGAGAGCAGTTCATAATTAGCTCAGAGAAATAAAATTATGCTTTATCAGAAATCATTGAGTCCATAGAAGAAAGGAGGTTTTTAAAGGGACAGCAGCACCTTGGGGTTCTCTTTGTCCTTCCAATACTACAGCATAGTCATAAAGCCAGGCAGCTCCTGCCTGTTGGTTTGCTTCTTCAGAAGGACCAGCACCAAGTGTTGTGCAGATGGCAGGATCCTGCTGCTCCCAGCACCTGACATCTAACCAAATTTTGAGAAGACACTGAAAAAATAATGTCAAATCCTGCCTCTGTCCTGAAGCTCCTTTGCTAATGGCACCATGGTTTGCCATCCAGAGATTTAAATTTAAATTGTTGGAAATTGTTTTGCTGTAGCTGCTAAAAATAATAATAATAAAAAAAGGCAAACGCTGACAAGAAGAGAAGCTGATTCCATGACTCTCCATGGGAAAAGAAAGCAGGTGACTATCCAGAAAGCACCATGAGGGTAAGAAAAGGGAAGGAGCGTGTAGAGGGAAACGTGCTTGCCATCTCTTTCAGGTGCTGCTTGGAGCAGAACACATAAAACAGAGTGGGCAGCAGTGCAGTAAGTCTCTGTACATGCCTTATGACTTACCCCTAATCTTAGCATCAGTGGGATGGTGTAGGACAAGCAACAAGTCTGGAAGAGATGTCGCTGTGGGGACACCCAAGACAGCCACAGAGACTAGCTGTAGGTCCAACATCCAGACTATTTCTGCTCAGGGCATCTCTGCTGCTTGGATCGTGACTCATCCTTTCAGAGCCAGCCCCATGTACCCAAACCCAAAGTTCTCAAACCTCTGTGAGGCACAAATCTGAGTGTGGAAAGTTATGGCAGAGATCGCAAATCTGGAGAGTAAATGTAATCTCTTCTTAAACACTGGTTATAATCCTCTGTAGGTCTATTCAATGGTTTAAACAATGCATGAAAATGTTAACATCATCCCTTCACTTCAGCAGGATTCTCTGATCAGAGGGAATTCAAACACCCTGAAACTCTGTGGAACCTTAAACCAGAGGCTGCATTTTATATCAGCAGCTTGGGCATGACTCCTGGTATTATTAATATCTAAATGCCCCATATGTTGTCTTTAGAGAGGAAGGCAGTCCTGCCACCTTTATATGTGTGCTTTCTTCCCTTTGCTTTTACATTTCTTCAACATGCAAAATGTACTTAACTCACTGCTTATTGAATGAAGGATTAGTATTATTTTCTTTCCTCCAGTGAACTTTGTTTCACTTCATCCCGCATATATTTTGCTAGTCTGTGTTTTCCTGCCAGCACACCACTGTTCAGCAAACTACTGTACTTAAGGCCAGCCAGCTAACGCAGTGATACCTTTTTACTCACAAGGAGTGTTTCTGTAATCGTGGTGGCGCTTGTAGTATGAATGACAGCTTACACCAGTAAGCACAAAATGCACTTCCAGAAGCTTCACTGAGCTAGGACGGAACAGAAGCAGCTGCAGACTGCCAAAACATCTGAAACATCCAGGACAAGACACATTTTGAAACGTAGCCTGCTACCTAGCTCCTCCACCAGCAAAGATGTTGACCAGGGACTGCGAAGGGAGTTACTTCCCCATCCTCCCTGTACTGTGCTGCTGTATCTCATGTTCAGCTAGGCTGGGGGTGCTTGGAAAATGTTCTGTTTTGGGTTGGTCCAAATTAGTATAAAACAAATAGGTAACAAATTTGCAATGGCTCTGTATGAGGCTTACAGTCTCCTTTTTTGTTAAGATTAGTCGTGTTGCCCAGCAGGAAAGCAAGCAGAAAAGAAGGGTATCTTTGCAACTCACTGTGCTCTTGGAAAACCAGACCGGACGCTCCTGTTCACATCACCACAGCAATGCAGACCTCTCTGGTGGAAGTATTTTTCTTGAGGAATTATACCGCAGGTCCTGCTAGGTAGCTACTCTCTTTGTTCCTACGAGCCAAGCTAGTTGCAAGATCATGCTATGCCATGCTTATAACCTCTCACTAAAAAGGAGGAGATTACAAAGGGGGCAAAATACCCTAGAGGGTTCCCCTTTATCAGAACCTTCCCTGTCAGTTTGCCTTCTCATTTCCTGAGCTCTTGTCTGATTATTAGTGTACTGACAGAATAAAAATAACCTCATATTCCTACATGAATCATAAATAAAACCCTTTTATTTCATCAAAGAGGTTGGCAGGTTTATAGTCCCTTGCAATGCATGCACGATGTGAATGACATACCTTTAATTTTGCTGACAAGCTTGTCGGGGTCCTAATGAAAAAGAGTGAAAAGTGGGTGACTTCTCTAAAGGTTTAGCAGTTGCTTTTTGGTGAGGATATATATTTCACCTTGCCACTGTAATCAAGGAGCCAACTGATCTTGGTAATGAACTCTTCAATTACAGTCCACTTCTGACTCTTCAAGAATGCCTAGGCAACAATACCACAGTGATTATTGCTGATATTACAGATTAAAGTCACCTGGAGGGAAGAAAAAAAAAAGGGGGGGAGAGGAAAAGGAAAAAGAAAACCTGAGCAGTGTCCTTGCTAGAGTTTCAGGTATCAGAGTACATGCGCAATGAACCGAAAAGAAAGATCAAATTTCAGATTTTGAACAGCTAGATTTTATATCTCTGTTGTACACTGGGCAATAATAAAATCACTTCTCTCACTTGAATTTTACATTATGTATCCTCCCTATTTGTTCCCCCCATAGCTAGTTTGTTTTTAGAAACCACTATCAAGTATGGTAGAGCTTATCTTGGGAGAATCCCATGAAAAGAAAAGGATAATGCAAACAATTTCTTTTGGTGTCTCTGGCAAGCAAGTATTCAGACGAAGGTTGCATGAGGAAAGAACGGTCCAGGAATACAGAAAATAGATACAGCACAGTCTGAAAAGCTCTCCTATTTCTGATCTTTCCTAGAGTGAAAAGTTTAACTGCTTGCAAAGAGGAAGGCAAACAGTTAAAACATATATTTTTAGCAGTGGTGGAAGTGTTTTCCCCTTCTTCAAAACATCTTCTCTTATTTCTACTTTTACTGTCTCCTATTTTGTTCATGTAAAAGTCATAAGGAACACTGGCCCCAGAGTTTGCCTTCTGACCACAGACAAATTGTCAAAGCCACAAGCCTTTTCCCTCTCATAAAAGAAGTCCTGCTTTTTCGGAAATGTCCCAGGTCTTCACTTAATAATTCAGAAAGAGATTAAGGGAATAGGACAGCTATATTTGCTGTCTTGGAGATTATCCTTTGTTTTGCTGGTGATTCCTGTCTTCAGTAATAACTCATCCGAGAAAGTTTGGGATTTGGCAAGTTACCCCAGCCTGACTGCTGTTCTCTTTTGTTTCTTTTCTCTCTCTCTCTCATCCTCTCTCTTTTTTTCTTTGCCTGGGGGAGTGTAGAGGTGGGTCTGCTGACAGGGGAAATGAGAGAGAGACAACTGAAGTCATCTGACTGGAGAAAGAAGCAGGGGCTGTGAGTGCAGGACTGTGTGTGCATGGGAAATGGGGCAGAACGAGGAAAAACTTGTGGCCAGTGAATGCCAGATCATTATCTTGTCAGGGTTCTACAAGATTTCAGAGCTACACTTTTAATTTTCATTGCTTCCCATTTTCCTTTGATAAGTTCAGAAGCAATATCTAATTTTATTAGAAGCTTCTCATCAAACGTGGATATCTTCCTTCCTCAAGGGATTCCCTAGCCTCAAAAACATCAGGCTCTGTGAAACATTAGCTAATCCCAGTTAGAGTTACTTGACCCTATCAAGCAAAGAAATAAATTTTACTCTTCATGAGAGTCCTACTGTTTATGCTCCAGACAAAATTCTTAGATCTCAAAAGTTTTCAGAGGGAAAGCATTTTTCATAATGCCAGAAAACCGGCTTTAAGGACCTGGGCCATAGAAGGCTGAACTGTTTCTTGTTTCCAATTAATACCTTGACAGACTTCCTCCTGCCTGGGGCTGCTCTCAGTGCCTGACTTTCTCGGCACAACATCCGAATGGGTACGGGCAGGAGCCCTGGCTGGCAACATGCAGCCCCACGCTCTACACCTCACTACGGCTTGCCCCCGACCTTCCCCACGTGGCTGCACACAGAGGGGACTGCCAGCAGCCCGGGCATTTCTCCCTGGGCAGCACAGGCTGTGGACGGCCCAAGGGGAGGCTCTCAGGTTGCTAAGCCTCCTACAGCAATGCTTGTGCCCAGTGCGACCGCGCAGGTCACCCTGGCTCAGGTCACCCTGGCTCGGCTAGGGGCAGGCGAGCAGGAAGCTACTGGCTGAAGCCATCACCAGGACACATGGAAAACGTGGAAATTTTGGGATGTATTCACAGCTGGTAGAAGGCAAAGCACAGGCTCCAAACACAAAGAGCCTGAATCTTTCCAAAGCTGTTCTGCTCCACTCTGACACGTTTAACAGACTGAATCACCCCAGGCATATTACCTTGGTACATGGAAAGTACACTGTATCATACTGTATTTTAAAACATATCATAGCTTATTTTAAGGTGAAATTGAATGTATTTTGTACTTATTTAGTGCCTTGCTCCATCAGCATTTCCCCAGTGCCTTGAAAAACAGGGGCTCAGACACTCTGGCTATAGTTGTATGACTTCTTCAGCTGTTTCAAATGAAAGGTCTTGCTAGAAAAGGTTAAGAAAAGACTTACATACTCCAAAATTATCGGTTTGTTATCACTATTAATAATACTTTATAGTACTTAACATGCTACTTTTCATCTTCAAAGCACTTTGCAAATATTAATTAATCCTCACAATCTGCCTGTGGGGTAAGCAAACGCTGCTGCTCTCAGCAGTCGAGTCACAGGGTTAACTGACTTGCCTGAGTCTAGAGGGTCGGGATCAGCCTCCGCACGTCCTGCTCTGATGCTCGAACTATTTAAACAAGCATTTCCCCTGTGCTCAGATGGGATGGCGGATGTGTACTGCTTTCAAACACGAGACATTTTCTTAGATGATGTATTAAAATGCTAACTGCAACTTCTGCTGCTTGAACAAGGCTGCAGTTCTCTCCCTTCCCACATATTTCTGCGCTGGTGCGAGATGTGGACAGGCATCAGCTGGCAGCTGCTCAGAGACCCACACGCAGCACACTCGCGGTGCGGACCTGAACTTGTGTCCTCAGTACAGCAGTGACAAATTGTATGCTCTGGTTTGTGTGCGACTATGAAACATATGCACGTGTACTACCTCCAGCTGTGTGTGTACATTCATATATATATACTCATGTATGTGTCTAGATGTATGCAAACTTTCTACCTAGTTCTGCTCAGCTTTCACAGCTGGGAGTTCAATACATTGTTTTTTTAAAAGACCCTATTAGTATGATGCCAATTTTACCAGGCTACAAAAAAAATGTCCAGGTATTTTCTACAAAGACTGAAGGGCTGCTCATGGAAGAGCTCCAAGTACGTTTCTAAAACTACTCCCAAACTGCACTTTGCAGTGGAGAATAATATATGCATGCACAAAAGTGGCCAGAGTCATAGCTTAAAGAAGAAGCAGACTTCTTTAACGATTTGACAGGTCACAGCCACTTGAGACACAACTAAAATTCAGTGTTTCACTGAAAGCAGCCTGCACATTGCTGTGGACTGATTAGGGTAATTTTTTCCCCAAACATTTCCAAACACTTTCAGTGCTAACAAACTATTGAAGGTTTAGGGGAAAGAAGAACAGGCCCATGATGTGTTTTTATTTGTCCATGCTTCTTTGAGTTGGTAAATCACACTACTTTGCTTTATTGAGTGTCCCTTTAGGAGTATATTGGAAAAAATTTTATCTGCCACAATTAATACAGTGCCTAGTGCATCACGCGGCACAGCCCTGGCGTCGAAACTCAGCATTCTCCGGGAGCCCTTTGGTCCCACACTGGATGCCAGAAAGGATCGTAGCTGTGACATGTGATACAGCCGCTGATAAATGGTGGCGCGAATGCAGAACAAAAAGGCTAATGAGTTCTCTCCAACACCACACTACTTTCACGAAATGAATGTGATGATGACCCTATTTGCTACTCTTTTTTTTTTTTTTTTTTTTTTTGGCTAGTGAGCTACTTCTCCCTTTACCTGTGTGTTAGTTTTATCTTCTCTGCACAATACTATGGAGAGACAGCCAAAATTAATGTCAGCATCTCCCTTCACTTTTAAGATATAAAAGAGCCTTTGAAGGTAGAGTAAACCAAGGAGGCCAGTAACTAATTATAACCCATTGTACTGGACTTTGAGAAATAATGAATAGAAGCCATTCCCCGCACGCTTACCGGAGCGCTTTGCAGAGACAGTGGTGCCTTTGTGGGAGAGGGAGATCCCTTCACTGGACCAGAGAGAGAAGAAATGGAATTGTTAATGTATGTAAGATGCAGGCGGATTTCTATGGTACTATTTCATTGCAGAGGCAGAAGGTAGCAGAGCCAATCATGAAAAGCGTAAAGGTGTGAAGGCACAAAGATGGAGAGTTGATTAAAAGCACCGTGGGGAGCGTGAGCGAACAAATCAATGGTAATGATGGAATTATGCCTGAGCGGAACCCAATAGTCTACGGTGTCCTGCCGACTCGGCGCTGGGGATTAAACGTCGCGAGGAGCAGAGCCGAGCCCTTGTCCAGCCTGTCGGCGCTGAGAGATACACTGATTGATGGGATGGGCTGCGCTATAAAACTGGGTGAGGTCTCTTGAGGAATGACCGAGCTCAGTGTAAGGACCTTTTGTGCCCCGGTGAGTTGCAGTGGCTGAATCCTGCCCGACCAGGAGCCAGGGCGGAGGAGCAGCGGTGTCGAGAGAGGTGCCAGTGGCAGCCTTGGGGGAGCAGGACGGGGCTTGTCTGGGGACACGCGCGTGTGAAGGAAGGAAAGGTAAAAGAAGAGCGAAGGAGCCCATGGGGCTCAGCGAGGTTCGAGGTAGCACCTGGCAGGGAGGCAGCAGAGCTGAGATGTGGCGGGTTGCAGCGGCGGGGGAGAGAGGAGCGGTGGCAGTGCCTGTGCAGGATGATGGCGTGCCGGGGTTTGGAGGCGCAGGCGGGAGCCGAGGGAGCGCAGATCAGAGCCAGCTGTGAAGGCGCTGAGAGAAAGGCCTGGAGCAGCCTGGAGGGAGGGAAGAGAGGATTGGAGCAGCCGGCGAGATCAATGCGGGGCTGGCTCTCGCTGGGGCAGCAGGGGCTTAGGGCTGCCAGCGCTCCCCAGCGCTCGCTGAGCTGGCCCTGCCACTGCCACGCTGAGCACGTTAGTATAAAAGTGCAACAGGAATACCTCTGCGAGCAGCCTTGTACAAACACAGCCTCGCTTCCCTTTTCCTTCACTATTTTAGGGACTCCTGGGCTGATACGAGGCTTGCATCGGTGTGTATGTATGTCCCAGGTGCCCTGTCACTGCGACACCAGGACCACAGGTGGCTACAGAAAGCCACCAAGAACACGGCTGGCACGGTGAAGAAGCACGGGGTGAGGGTGCTCTGTGTCACGTTGT